TGTTTCTGTTTCCCATAAAACTGTGGTTTCGGCTTACAAATTAAATATAATTCAAATTCAGGTCACATTTGAGAGCCTTTTATATATGGTACAAGCTTCTTTATACAATTTAACAGTATATTTGTAAAATTAGTATACACTTAGAGGGAGCAGTTTCAAGCTTTTCAATAATAAAGTTGTCAAAAATGGCTCAGCACAAAGTTTGGGCCACACACCTGAGAGCCCAGCGCGTACTTTAGACTGGGCTGCATTCTTTTAGGCCAGTTTTAACTACAATTAATGTAAGGTTTCAGTTATTTTAAAATAGGTCATGCTAACGTCAAAGAATCATGTTAGTTCAAGCATGACCAATCATAATATTTTAAGGTTTAATAAGATAGTTAATTTTACAAATTTCATTGTCTCTATTTCCTACTGTTGTAATTTTAGAGAACAAGAGCAACAACTCAATTGGTTTAAAGCATGATTTAACCACACCCCCTGGTTAACTACACTAATTTCCACCGTAGTTGGCCCTTTAGTTGTTTTAATTCTCCTACTTATTTTCGGGCCTTGCATCATCAACAAGCTTGTGGCCTTTGTTAAAAATCAAGTCAGCACCAGTGCCAACTGCGTGGTACTCATCCTTGGTGTCTCAACTCTCCTACCCATTTTCAGAATGGTCTTAAAAAAAAAAAAACCTATGTAGATCCATGATTGGGACTTATCTTTAGGTTCCTCTGAGAGGGCAGAATGAGAGACCCAAGAGATTAAAAAAAAAACTCTAAGAGAACTATTACTATATGAATTCCTACCCCACGTTCACTGTATTTGTTTGCAGTGTTTGTACTTAGAATTTTGTTAGGTTTAATTTTTGTTTGTCTCATAAAATAACCGATTGCTTCCGCAACTGCTGCTAGCATTATGTGAATGTCAAGTAATAAACCCCTCCCGGACATTCCTTTGCTTAGCCTGCCTGCTGACATTCCACTCTGCTCATTTAGCAGCTCCCCAGTCAATCACAGGTAGCTGAACGGACCAGACCAATCCCAAGTGCCCCCGTACCCATTAGGAGAAATTACCCTATCATGTAAAAACAAGTTTAAAGTTCTTTCCCCTCCCTCTGTAATGATGTATAAAAACTGCTTGCCATGCTGGATCGGGGCTCTCGACCCTGAAGCTGCTGCTTCAGGTGTGAGCCCAGACTCGAGCCTGAATAAAGACCCTTGTGTGTTTGCATCGAGTTGGCTCTTTGTGGTCTCTATCTCTCTCATTAGAGTCCCGGGTTCAACACTCCCCAGCTTATGTCAAAGTCATTTTGCCCTGCAAGATCCTGCCTGGCTCCTTTTCTCCTGTTTTAGGGATTA